GAAGCGCAACACACATAGGCATCCAAATCAGCAAAATGACAAGTTTGATGACACCTACACTAGGGGAATGATCTCCGAAGTATCCTAGGATGAAGGACAACACACATAGGTATCCAAATCAGCAAAATGACAAGTTTGATGACACCCACGCTAGGGGAATGATCTTCGAAGTATCCTAGGATGAAGTGCAACACACATAGGCATCCAAGTCAGCAAAATGACAAGTTTGATGACACCTACACTAGGGAAATGATCTCCGAAGTATCCTAGGATGAAGCGCAACACACATAGGCATCCAAATTAGCAAAATGACAAGTTTGATAACACCTACACTAGGGGAATGATCTCCGAAGTATCACAAGATGAATCGCAACGTACACAAGCATCAAGATCAGTAAAAATCACAGTTTTGGAGGGAGGAAGAAGATGAGGAAGGGGGAGAAGAAGAAGGGGAGGAGGAGGGGGAGGAGGAAGAAGGGGAAGAAGAGGAAGAAGACGAGGGGGAGGAGGAAGGAGGAGAGGGAGGAGAGGAAGAAGAAGAAGAAGAAGAGGAAGAAAGGAGGAAGAAGGAGGGGAAACTTCCTCCCTTCCCACTCACCTCTTGTTGGTCCCTAGGCAATGTAGTCCCAAGCTTGGTTCTAGCTCCTCGAGTATGGCTTCCCCACCTCCCAAATTCTCTCCTTCTCTCACTCCTCCTCCCAAGTTATGGCAGGCTCCTACCTCTAAGGCTATGGAGTCCTTCCCTCTAGAAGGGCTAAGGGGACCCCTTTCAGCCTCTCCTCCTACCTCACAGCCTGAGGGCTATGGCGGACCACTCTCCTTGCTCCCTCCTAGACTCTAGGCCTTCTCCCTTAGTCTCATCACCATAGCCAGGTTCCAGGCTAGCTTCGGCTCCCACTTCCTTGCTCTATCTCACCAGTACTCACTCACGGACTCATTTGGGCAGCATGGGCTCCTCTCATGCTCAAGTGGGAGTGGCGGCCTGCACCTCTAGCTTATGTAGGCTGAAACTGGTGCACCGCTCAACCCTTAGGCCTTTCCAAGTGCCTCTAGGTGGACCGAGGTGCCCCCAAGGCCAAATTTCCGATTTTGGCTTATCTGGAGGTACCTGGGCCTCATTTTGGCCAGGTACATGTAGCCTGAGAGGCCGGTACCTTCTCGGACTACCCCTTGGTCTACCCCGGCCTCTTTTTAATTCAAAAGAGCTGCCTTTTAGGCTACTACTTCCAAAAATGCAACCTTTACTGAATTTTGAGGGCCTAAAGGCCCATTTTTCGTCTTTTTCCTGGTCTAGGCCTTTTTTGGGTAGGCCGTTGCATTTTTCCAAGTGGCGGCTCCAATCTCAGCCTTGGATTTGGCTGAGATCCATGGTCCTCATCATTCCGAGCTACCCCCAAGCTCCCCTTGGCCCAAAATTGAGCCTTTCACTTCAATTTTCAATTTTTTTGGTGTATCAAGCCCAATCCTTGGGCCAAATACGCAGTTTTGTCTTGTTCCTCTCTTTGTTTTCCCTCCATTTTGTTGCCAACTCATTTCGGAGCTAGCCGTTTTGTGTCAGCCCACAAAAAACGGCTAGATCTCCTCCACCGCAAGATCAGATTTCAGATCTAGGGCCCAAAAATGAGCCGGCCAACTCACATCAACATTTTTCCTTATTTTTGCTACGTAAATTCAGATATTGCAGAGATAATGCCCCAAGGACCTTATCTCTGCAATCCGAACTGCCCTCCTAGGATCTGGGAGGGATGAGGTCATCATTGAGACCTGCCAGTCCCTACCGCTGCAGTCCCAACCTGGCGGCACTTTTTCCTCCACTCATTCCTCCTCCTTTGTCTCATTCTCCCCCCCTTTTCTCCCCCTTTTCCCTCCTTTCTCTTTTATTTACTGTTGGGATAAGTGTCCAACAACTATTTCTCCTCTTTCTAGTTGTTGGACCTTTCCCAAGACCTGATTTTGCAACCGGCATATGGTCGTTACACCTGGGACTGCAGTAGTGGCACCCCCAAGGCCAAAGGGGGCTCCTTTTTGTCGTCGCCGCTCCTAGTTTGAAACCCCCTTCCTCCGATTTCCTCCGGCCAGCCCTTTTTCCACGTAGAGCCCTTGGAACTTCGTTTTTCTTGGCCTGGCTGATCCGGGATACTCGGACTGCTGGCTGCCCCCCCCCTCTTCACTGCCACTACTTCCTTCTCTCTTTCCCCCCTTGGCACCCCCTGCCGGCGCGTGCCGCGTCCTCCGTCTTTCCCGCGTCACGCCTGCCCTTTTTCGTTCCGTCGACAATTTCCGTCGACGCCCGCCTTCTCCCTATCCTCTTATTAATCCTAGTCCGTTCCCCCTTTTCCGGAGTCATCCCAGGTGACGACCTGTTTTCTCCTTGGGTCATCATGCATCCCCGTCGCCCAGTCGTTTCGTTGTTCCGTCGACGGTTCCCGATTCTAGTCCCGCCGGTAATTCCGCATTTTCGCCTGGTCCCACATGGTCCCTGACACTTTGTCCTGTCGGTACCATGTCTTCTCTTGGTCTCACGTGGGTTCGGGCACTTCGTTCCGTCGGCACCACATCTTCTCTTAATCTCACGTGGCCCCCGACGCTTTGCTCTGTCGATGCCACGTCTTTTCTTGGTTTTGTGTGGTCCCCGACGCTTCGTCCCGCTGATACCACGTCTTCTCTTGGTGTTTCTGACGTCCCTCTGTCTCACGACGATCTCCGCTCCCTGCTCCTATTGTGTCCCGCATGCTATTCCGTTCCGGGTGCCGGCTCCCACCTAACCTGCGGTCTCCTTGGCCCTCTTGCCGTCGTGTCACGTCAGCGCCTTGCGCCCTATCCCTTCCTGCTTCCTTCCTTCCCTTGTTGCGCACCTCCTATGCTACTACCGACTTCCCGGCGGCCCTTCTCCGTCCTTTGGGGAAAGAGTCGCCCCTGCTATTCTCTCACAGTCCTTTGCCGCTTCCTGCTTGGACAGTCCTTTTCTAGTTTGGCGGTCCTGACGACCCTGGGCAGCCTCTAGCTTCCTACTGCCTGTGCCCACGCTTCCGATCTTTCCAGCATTCCTGCCTCCGGTTTTCTCTGCCGTGCACAAATTAGTCATATACAATCTCTCGAGTGACGGGAAGTCATTCGGGACTCACCAGTCCCGACAACGTGAAGACCATGCCTTCCATGCCTGGCCAATAATAGAGTGCTTTGGACGATCGATGCCCTCCTGCTAATCCGTCGTGCATTGCCTGGATAACGTCCAACTGCCTAGATCTTCCGCACACAACTCTTCTAGGCATAGCACCTTCCTCTTTTCGAAACAGATGGCCACCTCTTAGGACGTACCTTTCGGTCTCCTCCCTTGCTTTAGTGCCGACTTCCGTGGGTTGTTTCTTTCCTACCAGCAACAACCCGATCTCCCAAAAGGTCCCTTCTGGGCATAGAAAAACTCCTTTCCTTCCTGGTCCTCATCCTTTCTCCCCTGCATCTGGTTTACCATCCATCGCAACTCTTTCCTTTCCCAAGATTCCACTAAGCTCATCACGGCTTTCCGGCCTCCCTCAACCGCCATTGCTATTAGTTCCTCCTTCGGTCCTACTATTGCTCCCCATGAATCTCTCTCCTCTTTACAACCCCGAGTGGTGACCGGTCCTTCCCTGAGCTGCTACTACGGCAGGCGCCCCCTTCTCCAAAGTTCGGATCAACAATTCTCCCGACGCGCATTCTTCGCCCATCATTTCGTTGTCCACCGCCAGAGTTCCGCCTTCGTATTCAAGGAACGCGTCTATGGGTTCCGCCTCTTCCACCGCTTCGAGAGTGATGCAGACCCGGCTCAACCCATCGGCCTTGTTTCTGATTCCCGCAATCCGTTCGATCTTATAATCGAACTGCCACATAAATCCTACCCATCTCCCCGCCGTCGGATCTATAGGCCTGTAATTCTTTAGGGCCCCTGCAACATTTGTCAGATCGATCCTAAGGATGAACCGCCTCCCAAATAGGTAGGCCTGGAAGGTCTTAAGGCAATGCAAGATGGCCGGGACCTCCTTCTTGAACTGTGAGTACCGCCGCTCTGCGGAGTTCAGGGTTCTACTTTCGAACTTAATCGGCCTCCCTTTTATCCCGTTGAATCAGCACGCCTCCTACGGCCAAGGGTCCTCCATCCGTTTCTAGGATGAAAGGTCGTCCCACTTCGTCATTAAAACAGGGTGCGGACAAAGCGACTTTCTCAGACGTCAATATGTCCTTACCGCTCCTTCTCGCTCTTCCGTCCAGTCCATGGTCCCCTCTTCTCTAATCATGGCCCGGATAGGCTCAACAATCTTGGCAAAATTTTTAATGAAGATCCTCTAAAAGCCAACCACGCCTAGGAATGCTCTTACCTCCGTTGTCGTGCGTAGGGGCGTTGGCCACTGTGATATCTTGTCCGTCTTTGCCGGATCTGGCTTCCTAACGTAAGCTCCACAACGAAATCCTAGTATGGTTACTTCTGGTACTGCTAGAATACTCTTTGGTCCGCTAGCCATAATATTGTATACTAGGAACCGGCGGAGTAAGTCTTTGATGTCTTGTAGATGGTCCCATACAAACCTTCGAATTCCTGGCTGGATTTCCGTCTCGTCCTTTCTCCTGCGCGCCTTTGATTGGATTGTCATCGATGTAGGGCTCACACTTCTCTGGGAACATGTCCCCGGCTACGACGAGCATTCTTCGTTGCGCTTCGGCTACCGCGTTTGTGAAGCCCATAGGGGTCACTTGCATCTGCAACTGGCCTACGGGGGTGTGCATAGCTGTGTACGGCCTGTCCCGAACATCCAATGGAAGTTGGTCGTATCCTGAGTACAAATCTATCAAGGAGTAAATGCTCCGGCCGGCATGCGATTCCGCCAATAGATCGGCCTGAGGCAGCGAGCCAGCATCTCGGATGGTTACCGCATTCAACTTCTGCAGATCCTGAATCCACCTTAGCGTCTTGTTGGGCTTCCAGAAGACAAACCACCGGTTCGCGTATCGCGACGCCGTAGGTTCTGCGACGAAGGAGTCCATCTTCGCTCGAAGAAGGTCTGTCACTTCTCCCGCTATCCCAAATTCATAGGACGGACCCTTGTCATTCCGACACTCATGCTCTTCCGTGTGGATTCTGACCGGAGGGATCAGCTTCGCGTCCAGCCGCCCCTTTTGGTGATCACTAAAAGCAAATGCCAGGTGAAATTCCTGGCAGGTCTTTTTTATCAGGCGGGTTTCTTCTTCCGTTAAGAATCCATCTATCCCTATCTTCATTGTGTCGGCTACCTCATCTGATATCCGATGCCCTTGCGTCGCTCTCCTCTCTTGGATCACTCGAAGGACTTCCTCCTCCTCCCTAGCCTCTTCCTTTGATGTCTCTAACAGGATCGAGACCGGTTTTGCTTTCTTCCCTACCGACTTGTATTTTCGAACACTTCCTTCCGGGATCTCTCTCCTAAAAAATGGACGACCGGGATTGCCCTCGCCACTTCCATGATTCGTGGTTGAATACTGACTAATTTTCCATTCAGGCAATATCCCTTTTTGCACCTCTCCTTCGAATTTCGCCAAGGCCGCCGAGTCCACTCCTACCTTGTGGTATCTGAGGGCATTGATTAGCTGTAACAAATCGAGGATCTCGAGTGCAACTTCGGGTACATCCATGCGCAGTTCTTTCCGCTTAGGCAGACTGCCTCCGAGTTCGACTTCTTATTCCTTTTCTGCCACCATAACACCTAAGACTTCGTCCTCCTGCCTTCTCTTCTTCTGGGGCAGGCCCATCTTGATCCATTCCTTTTTATTGAACGCCTCCTCGATCATGATCTCTACCCTTTCTCTCATGCCGTCCATCCGAGCAAAGGCCCCTTTTCATGCGCTATCCTCAAACGATGGCGACCACGTGGCTAACTTTCCCTTTGGAGGGTCTCCTCCCGTCCCGAGGAGTTCGAGGAGCTCACCCCGGCCGGTCACCGGGTCCTCTATGTCTACCATGTACGTGCCATCGTGCAAGTGCATGCCTATCATTTCCACGTTTGCGCACCACGGTCTCCCGAGGATTATATCGTGGTCCATTTCCTCCATTATTGTCATCCGTTGGAACAACCAGATTGACTCCCTGACTCCCGCCTTGACTGCGCATTTCGTGACATACCCAGCGAGCGGGATTTCCCCACCGGTTCCCCGGATGCTCCCTGTTACTTCCTTATTCACCCCACAACCTGTGATTGTTGCGAAGTCTCTTCTTATGAGGGTGATTTCAGCTCCCCCATCTACTAATGCGTCGGTATGATGAGTCCCGATCTGGATTTTCAACTTCCCCACGGGTAGCGCATGGAAGCTAAGCTTTGTCCCGGGAGGTGCCCTCATGACCTCGCCACCTTCTCGATCTGGCAAGCTCAAGCGGATGTCCGCAAAGGCCTTCTCAAGATCCTCCAGATCCCCGCTACTCCTTTGAAGGTTAGCAACTTCTTGTGGAGCTTCCTCCTCCCTTTCTTCTTATGGTAATTCGGGGTTGTCGTCTATTTCTACTCACCGCCGAGTCATCAGTTGTCTGAGCCCTTTGAGCAACCTAGGGCTAGCCTGCAGCATGGTCTGAAACGACACCGACACCATGGTTCCTAGCAACTTGCTAAGGGTGTCGTCGATCTCAGGCATGGTTAAAATCGGGATTTGATACCGAAACTTCTTCTTAGCAGCGGTAACTTTGTTTGTAGGTTTCTCTTCCCTAGGCTTCCCATAGACTTTCTCTGGTTCCTCGGCCTCGGGCTCTGCCTGGGGTTCGGAACTTCCAGCAACCTCCTCCATCACGGTGTCCCGGATAATCCTTCTCCCAGCCGTCCCTAGCCGAGTACTCGCATTCACCCTATCACGTCCGTCGCTTTCCATAATGAAGTTGACCTGCGGCCTGCGGCCCCGAAGTTGATCCCAGATGATATCTACCACCGGCTCGGCCTCTACTGCAGTTATCTCTAACCTATTGAGCATGATAATGGCTCGCCGCATTCCCCCTGGTGAGTTCCAATTCACCCGTTCTCCCTGCGGTCCGAATATCTCCCCTTTTAATGACCTAGTACATCTCCTTTTTAATATATCATGGTTAAGTTTTGGACACGCGCGCACAAAATGTCCCACTGCGGTGCAATACTTGCATTGCTCATTAGTGAGATCTCTCCGTCCGAATCCTCGGTTGGCTACTCCTGGTGGAACTACGGCTTCCTGGGGAGGGAGGGCGGGTCGGGATACTTGCGCCTGCATAACCAGCAACGCGTTCTCCACCCTTTCGATCTTATTGCCGACCCCGTGCACCCGTTCATGTAGGCTCTCAATCCCCCTTTTTACCTTGTCGCCTGTCCTACTGGTCAAGTCTATGACCTCCCCTTCCTTGAGCAAAGCCAATTTTCGGTTACTACTGTCTTCTGGTACCGTACTAAAATCAACATTCCGAGTGTTTACGAACTTGCTCGTCTGTTGGTAAGCCGACAAAATCTTGTCTTTGTCGAACTCGGAGAACTGCCTGAGGAAGTATTTGCTCATTATCCGGTCCGTGACCCCGGGGATCCTTAGTGCTACTAGAGTAAACTCCCGTAGGAAGTCATTGTACATTGCGAAGTTCTTCCTCTGAACTGCCGCTAAGTCGACCTCCGTAGCCATTTTCTCTGCCGCTAGGTATTTCCTCATCATCACATCCCGGGTCTCCTTCCAAGACCGGCTCGCGGCCACAATGGCCATTATGTCCCGCCCCAGGCTCAATGGCACATGCTGTCCTAGGTGGTCCATCTTTTCTTCTTCGGTCCATTTCAGCAACGCATCTAGGTTCTCATAATCGATTAGGAACTCCGTGATGTTTGCCCCGTCGAACGTCAACTTTTTCTTAGCGTCCGCTAGGTAGCCCTGATTTTTGTTTAGTGCTCGTGCGAGGGATGATACTATCTTCCTAAGGCCGCATTCGGAGCTACTGGCCTCGCCCGCCATATTGGTATCCGGTCCTTCCTTGCCGGCGTTCTGTCCCTCCCTAGTCTTTGCAGTTCCTTCCCGATCGAACCATCCCAACACCCTTTCCCTGAGGCTCCAGAGCCCTTCACACCCTCGCGTTACCGTTGGCGTGGTCGGCAGGCGGCTAGCCCTACTATCTATGGTTGGTGGGTTCGTAGCTTTCTCTGCTTCCATCCCCAGAGAATTCTCTCTCTCTTTCCTTCTTTTGCTCGGTGTTCCTCCACGGTCACTACCCTTAACCCCTTGCCCAATTCCGCCTCGGCCGATCCTCCGTTCGTCCCGCGGTTCTTCCTGCAGAGGGCCTTCTTCGTTCCCAATCATCATTTCCTCGATCAATCTCCGCTAGTTTGCGCCTTGCATCCGTGACCCTTACTTTCTTTGACACAGCTCCCTCTGAATCCCGGGGGCTTGTCCTATCCTTATTTCTGCCCTCCTTGGTTTCCTGAGTCCCTTGCCTGCTTCCCCCGGCTTTCCCCGAGCTTTCTCCTTAGGAGACTTCCTTCCGGTTCCCTTTGGTACCATCTGGATTTATCGATTCTCTGTCCTTCTGCCCCTCTTCGCTCTGCACGGCACTGCCTCCTAAGCCTGGTCCTCCCTCGCTCTCACGGTTATCCGTCTCATCCTCCGTTGCCATTTTCCCCAGTTCTGCATAAACCAAAGGATTCCCCAAGACACACGTAGCACGAGGCACTTACGTTCCTTAGGTTCCAACGTTGTCGGCTTATCTTTATTCGGGGAAATAGCCTTCTCCCCATTCTCGTTTCCTGATTGCTTCCCTAAGGAGGAGCCACGTCTGGCCCTGCTGCCTTACCGAGTTAAAGGGGCGTGACTTAGTTTCCTTTACCACAGGCTCGTTTAGAGCGCCCTTGTCCCGTCGGCCGGCGAGTAGGAGTTCGGGTTAGGCACCCTGCTAGAGAAAGTTTTCTCGAGCAGTATTCCCCTTTTTTTTTTGTCTTCCAGGGTCATGGCAGCCATTAGGAGTCTACCCTCCCCCCCCCTCTTAGTGGCCCTTCTTATTTTCGCAAAAACTATACTTGATCTGCCCTATTGGCCCGCCCCCGGGTGCTAGTCCCGTTCTCGCCCTCGTGGCCCTTCCGGTTCGGTAGGCTCCTCGAATAGTTGAGCCACCCCTGCTGGATAACTCTCTTCTATCTCGATTTCCCTTTGGATTATGTGTTCGTATTCCGCCCAGGCTAGCCGTGGCAACCCAAATAACTCGTGGGCCCTGTTTCCCCAGAACGGCCCATGTTCCACGGAAACATCGTAGAACATCTTGATGGTCTGAAAGGGGAAGTGGTCTACCGAGACTATCGCCGAGTCTGCCAGCTCCTGCGCCCTCGCGAGGCTCCCGAAGATGAGGTCTATCATAAATCGGGGGACCCGACACCTCAACGGTGTGGTTGGTGCCCTGAATTCCCTCCAACCTCCCATTTCCACCCTGGTAAGTAAATCCACGTTTCTTCTACCCCTAACCGATTGTCCTATCCGCGTCAACACCCGGGCCACCCTCTGAAAGACTGGAGCCAGCTCGTGGCCTTGCGCTATTCCTATCCCCAGCAAGTGCCAGCCAGCCTCGGGTAGGTATAGGACCCCGGTTACCTCCAAATTGAAAAACAAGTCATCCCCAGGCCCCCGGTTGAGTCTCATCCCTGTCCACCGACATTCCACCAACATTACACCAACATGAAGGCGCTGTCTCTTCCTAGTGTCACGGCCCGCCATTCTACGTCGAATCCCTGAAAGTTGGAATTTGACGGGAGGGACACTTCCCATCGCCCGCCGTTATTCCATGGCGGTCCAGGGTACCGGGGCTGGCGTTCCATCCGCACACGTCTTGCTGCCATTGCTGCTTTGGCGATTCCCTGCATAGTCCACATAGAAAGGATTACAGCCGATCCTCAGCAAACGTCCACCTACTGCCCCCTTACCCTTTATGTTCTCATTCTTCTTCTCTGGTCCTGACTACCCTTCCATATTCCCAGGAGCAGCAACCTCCGATGGCTGCTCGTACAACCGGTATAGGTAATCTATGTAGGTCGTGCCCCGACCTACTTCCCGCCTGATGACTCCCTACATGGCACTTATTTGCGGAATCCCCGGCCTAGTATTTACTGCTGCCCGTAGTATGCATAACACCTAGTGTCCTTGTTCATCCTCGGTAGTATTCCCGATACATTAATGCTTCATCAAAATTTAACCCAGCTACGGCAGCTACCGCCTACTCCACTCGCTCCACGCCTCCCATTCGTCTTAGTAGAAAGGGTGGTAGATTCATTCGTACGACCTCATTTGGCAACCTAAAGACCCCTGCTGCGGGAACTTTTACCTCAGCCGTCACGTCATCTCGTTCCGGATCCGCGAACGCAAACCCCACCCGCCAGGTTATTTGCCATGCTCCTTCGAACATTCGACCCCGGAAGCCAAGGCAATCCCAAAGTTCCGCCATCCTTCTTCCGACAAATGTAAGGATCCTGTTGCATGTACGCGCCCTGGGAGGTCCAAATTTATGCCCCCAACTCCCCTCTCGCACGCCATTCCAGTTCTACTACTAGATACACCGTGTCCTCCACCACCTCTATCCCCACCCAGTCCATTACTGGGTTACTTACCACATTTCTTGTTGGCAGGCTCATTTCGACCCTGCCCCCTGATGCTCTTGGTGGCAGGATCCCGCGATGCCTATCCTCCCAAATCGCATTCGCCGGGCCATCTTGCAACGTCTCCTTTCCGCTCCCTTAGTTTGATCGCTGCATCCACCGAGATTCCGTGCCTTTCGTGCTGTAGTCTTTCAGCACTCCTTACCTATCATACACCGGTTATTGCTGCTATCCCTGCCCCATACACGTACAAATCTTCTTCCCCTTCTCTGGTTGTTGCTACCCCCCCTTGTTTCGACCCCCTCGCGTCCCTTGGTAACTAATGTACACGCCCTTCTTTCTTATGCTACATCCTAATTCACATGCGTCCTCCACACTCCAACCTCCCCGCGGGGTTCGATTTTCGGGTCCCTTTAACCCAACCACAGTACCTCAAACAGTTTAAAAACATCGTCCACATAGGATGGCGCGACCGCCACCTCCCGGCTAACTATGGCGTCCCAAGCCTCCGTGTCTACCTCTAGGCGGTCGTACTTACCTATCCTCAGGACGGTGAGGACTTCAAGGGCTTTATCGCCGTAAAAGGGCCCATATTTTAAGGAGATCCTATAGAACTCCTCGGTCAGCCAGGCACATTCTAAGAGAGTTGTATGATAGGTGACTATCTCGTACGGTTCGGAGAGGACTCGAGTACCGCTGGCATGTTTTGCTCAGTGGGGAAGTTTCACTCTATTGAATATACAAGGCATTTTTGTTGCATTAGCCTACAAAAAAAAAGTAGATTTCCTAAAGTTCCCAGATTCGTCCAACTTTGTATTTTGGAAGCATAAACAGTATATTGAAATACAGTTGTACTCAATTCTGTTGGTAATATTGGAATGTAATCATTATCTACAACTATGTGTACTTTCCTCATGGAGTCGGCCACGAACTCGGGCACCCACGCCGTTGTACGCAGGCAGGCTTGAGTTCCTTCCACCCTCCCATCACAACTCTCCTACTAACTTCGTCCCATTCCTCGTTGGCGAACCTTTTGCCTTCCTTTTGGGTTCGCGCCTCCGCATCCCCTAGAAGCCACATTGGATCCTGTCCCATTGCTAACATAGTGCAAAATAGGTGCCACCCGTCTTCGGAAAGGACAATCGTCCCGATCGATTCCACTTTGCCTTCTACTATATCGTCCCAACCTTCCTCTTCCCTTATTGGGTTCCAAATCCATTTTATCCATACATATGATAATTCCCGGGCAACCTCAAACCCGACCCAGTCGCATGTGGTCCCCCTCCACTCGTTTTCTGCTGGTATAGGCATTTTTATTCCTCCTCTGAGTCGCCTTGGTTCCCATCCCTTGAAGGTGTAGTCCATCATCCTTTCCTCTCTAGTCATTTTCCCCTTCCTGCACAATACCAGGCCACCCGTTTCCCCTAGGTCAAGTCATCCTCCTTAGAAGTCCCAGTCCTCTATCTCATCATCTTCGTCCTCATCACTGAAGTCGTCCTCCTCGTTGTAGAACAACTCCCTCACCCCTTCCAGGAATGTCTCCCCTACTGCCACATTTCTGTAGACTATCCCCCAATGCACAGAGCTAGAGACAAAGACATTGTCTATACTAAAGCAGTTTAGTATCTCGGCCAGCTCGTCCGCCCAATTCCCCTCAAACGGCCCCATTTCTACCGGCAACCGAAAGAAGTCTTGCCTAGCGCACTGGTATAGTCCGAGGTTCGTCATGGACTGGCATACCCGTACTAGCCTGCTCCGGGTTCCGAAAACCGCTTCCACCAGGAAGGGAGGCAACACGCATCGCATGGTTCTGACGGGTCGCCTCATGTTTCCTCTATCCCCAAGTTCCACCGACACATCTTCCCTTTCCATTTCCATTTCCCTCCTCTGACACGCAGCCCATACAACCTCCGCTTCTGCCTTCCTAAACAGCTCGTCCGGCGTATTTCCAAGTACCAAGTCTATGACCATAGCATTCTCCCCGTCTTGCGACAAGTAGACCCACCCCCGGGCTTCCACTGTCCCTCGAAACTCCAGATCCATTAAGCTCGGCGACAACTCGTCAAGCTGACATTAGCCCACACCGTCTCTATCCACAGAAACGCGTCCTCCCCTTCCAACATTACGGTTTGATATGTTGGTTCAAGGTCCGTTCACGTCCCATCTTCCGAGAGGACGACCGACACCCCGTCCTTTACATCTACTGGCATTTCCGAGCCGCTGGTATAGATCGGGGAAGACATTCATCACCCAATCTTGTTTCCAGCACCCGACCCCTGTTTTCATAAGAGAGTACCAAACGATCTTTCTGGTCAGGTCGACCCCCGTCCTAGATGAGAATTATTTCAGACCCCTCATCAAGGTCTCCCCAATTTACCTCCCCAGTCCTAAGTACCTTCTTCCCATAATACCCACGGTCGGCCATCCATTTTCCCACATTCTTTCTCTTGGTTCCATTCCAGTTGACCTCTATCCTCCTTCCTTCCGATCATCTCTCACTCGTGTGGACTTAGATGGGGGGGGGGGGGATAGACTTAGAAATATGTCCCGTCCAACAGTCCAAGCTCAATCAATCTTTACAGAGGGAGAACACATTAAAAAAATCAGACAATCTCACATACGGGCCGGTCATCTCCTCACCGACCATCCCCAATATGGTCTCTCTGCTGGTACTATCGGTAGAGTTTTATCCCATACCTCAAGCACAGCTCAACCGTCGCGAGCGTGGTACCCAAGCTCCGGCAAGGCGTTAGCCCTTTCCTTATGCCCAGAATACCCCATCCCGTCTTGCCGCTCTTACACATCCATACCGACACCGAGGGTTACCCCGCGTGCCTAAATATAGGGACAAAAGTCAGTCATCCGGGCATTCACTTCCATCGGTCCGACAAGAATCAGCCTTTCCCAAACCGTGCTACGAGAAGCTACTAAGCGTCTTCGAGGCTCCCTCCTTGCCCCATATGCAGTGATCCCCCTGCCGTCTGCCGACAAGCAGCCGTCCCGCCTGAAGACGTTTCACACCCCACCTGGGCAAGGTCATCGAGCCATGCTAGGACCGCTCGGGTGAGAATGCTACTAATCAGTCGGCAAGACCAACTCCTGCCTGACAACCCGGTGGCCCGACCCCCGCACATGGAACCCAACGAACTTCAAAGAGATCAACGTTTCGCAACCCGCACCGGCCGGTGCAGACCCATCCTTTCCTTCCGAAAGGCAGGACGCTCAAATCCCATCATTCAAACACAAGTCCTAAGTGGGACACATAGAGTACAAGTGCCTTTCCCTTGGTGTACCCAACGCTTCCTACCCATAGCTCACAATTTTCTCTCAGGACAATGCGTGTCACTCCCCTTATTTTCATACATAGTTGTTGGTTCCTTCTCGTGAGAATCTTCAAAGGTGAGCTAGTTTTCCTTGGAGTCTAGCAACTCCCTTCATTCCCTTTCTCTTTATTTGTCTGTCCTTTCATAGGGCAGGATTGTTTCTTCTCGATGACCCGTTGTGTTCATGTTGGTTCCTTCAATCATTTCAAAAAGTGCAAAGTGCATGAGCCCGCTGGGCTCAAAGAAGAAGAGAGGAGAGCACCCATTCGGTCGGATCACTCCGCCATGGTATTTTTATCGGACCCCGCCGAAGCCGAAGGACCAACCGCCTGCCAGGTAACCGTAGCCCTTCTTTCATACAAAGAGGAAGGGTCGACCTGCGACTTGCCCAAGGCTTCCCCGGACTGGCGAACACCAGCACCGGGCGAAGGAGGGTTATAGCCACCCCGCAAAGGACATGGTTAATCAAGTGCAAAGCATACATGTTATACCTCCAGGCCTGGCCATGCCATGCGCCCAACCACTCTCAAATATGATTCTCTCAAGGGAAAGAGCAAGCACAAGTCCATTTTCCTTATCTTGGGTTGTGTACACATCAATGCGTCGGGCGCCCCCTTCGAAATCGCAAGGGTCAGTTTAACCCCATGCTCGTCACCTCCACCAATTTTGTAGGGCCAAACCCCGATAGACTTTCGAGCCTTAGTCGACCCCACTGCGGGTCACAATTGGCTCGACCCGCGCACGCACATGCTCAGGGCGCAGGTCATTCGTCCCAGGGTCACCCCCACCTAGTGCTTTGAGATGGATGGGGGTGGGCCATCGCGCGAGAGAGCTTTGACATTGAGGATGTAGCTCAGCCCTCACGCCGGGTGGTAGTCTTGCTGGTCATTCCGCAACAATGATTTTTTTTTTATTCTTAGTTATGTTCTCAGGCAATTGCTCCTTCCAATACGCAGGCAGTCCAAAGGCTCTTTGAGTGTTTCTCTTCTCTTGTGCGCAGGCTAAGCGTCATCCTTAGGCCGCACACCATTTCCCTAAGCATTGTGTTCCTACGACGTCATCGGGGTGTGGCGAAGCCGCCCTCCCCCTCGCCTCTACGCACCCATCGGGTCTCATAATTCGCATTCAACCTTATTGAAGCAGGCCCCTTAGTCTTTTCAGGGCCTTTGCATGCACGCACACACAACTCCACGTTTCCCTTGGCAAGACTGCACTCCATTCCCTCATTCACACTCCCTTGGCAAAACTGCACTCCATTCCCTCATTGACAAGTCTCAAACGCAAAGGTCATTTTCATGGATTGGCTCTATGCAAAGGTCCCGTGGCCCCTTTGCCCCTCTTCCCTTTTCATTTTGATGCCCGATTCCTCCCGACCCTATTCCGCTCAAGGCATCCCTAGTCCGTCACTTACCTGCACAGTCCCACACAAGGCAAAGATTCATACAATCCCCCATTGGGGGTCAACACATAGCCATATTCCCACATGGCTATCTTTTCCATGCCTTTTGGCTGCTCTTTGTTCCTTTTCCTTGTTCAATCACCCTCATACTCATGCAGTCGGGGAAATGGTTGAGTCAAACTGACCTTGCTTCCACTTATACTTTCTCCCGGATTCCGCCTCTTTTCCCACTTTCTCAACCGTCCTTTCCTTTGCCTTCTTGGTGGCACAAGGGACCGGCTACCCTTCCCTTGCCCTCTTTCTCCACCAAGTGAGGTCTGATTTCGTTTTACCGTTCGCACCCTGGCAATGTAACAAGTGAGGGGAGAAGGGTTCAACACATGCCACGTGAGGGGAAGGGAAAGAGGAGACGGGGGGTTTTAGGGGAGATAGTAAAGGAAGAGAGAGAGACGGAGAGGGAGAGAAGAAGAGGGAAGAGAGAGAGAGAACGAGAGAGAGAAAAAGAGAGAAAGAGGCGGAGAGGGAGAGGAGAAGAGGGAAGAGAGAGAGAGAGAGGAGAGAGAGAGAGAGAGCTGAGAGAGAGAGAGAGAGAGAGAGAGAGAGAGAGAGAAAAAGAAAGAGAGAGAAGTGAAGGAAGAAAACCTTTAATCCCTAATCAAACTCACCCTTTAGCGTACCCTATCGTCCTACCTAGTGTTTCCTAGCTTTCCTCGACGCCTTTGTTACTTACGACCTTCGAGTGACGGTCGTGGGCAGAGGAGGGAGAAGGTGCAAGGTGACCGGCTATGGTGGAGGAAGAAGGTGGACGGAGACGGGTGAAGGAGATGGTGGAGGAAGAAGGTGGAAGGTGGTTGGCTATGGTGGACGGGTGAGGGGGACGGGGGAGGATGGGAGTGGGAGGTGTTTTGGGTTGTCTTTTGGACATCCGGGCAAGGTGGCCAGCTATGGTGGATGGGTGAAGGAGATGGTGGAGGAAGAAGGTGCCAGGTGGTTGGCTATGGTGGACGGGTGAGGGGGACGAAGGAGGATGG